CAGCTAAAAATCGGCTAAAATTTCTTTAGAGTTCTGCTAAATTCAGCGATTAATCCTGACTTCACAAGTTACTATCCAGACGTTGCAGCTAACCGGTTCAGGCATGAAACTCCTAGGCCTAGCGTTATCTTCAGCTGTCTTATGTGCTTTTTTCGAAAGTTCCCGTCTTCTTCTGGTCCACAAAATGTCGGCTGTGTCTCAGTGAAGCCTGCTAGAGCAGCAGATCCATTTCGGGCAAATTGTTTTAGTTCAGGGACAAAGAACCAACATCTCAGAATTTCGGTACCGCTGTTGCGCACTGCTGCAGTAGCTGTTGCCGGAGGAGGAGGCGGTGGCGGTGGCGGTAGTTCCGGGCCGGAATGAACAATAGTTGCTGCTTTCATTGCTTTCTCGAATATGCATCCCGGCAGATCGGATGGATATGGACGGTTATCGGGCTGATGAGCTGAAACTTCGCTGGCTCGGCCACGAGTGTTGTAAAGCAGTGTAAAGCCATCCGCATCAAGTATGAATTTTTACTTAACTTATTGAACTTAAAGTCTGTAGTAATTCTTACTTATTGAAACAAGTCCAGGTGGAAATGGTGGGATTTTCCAGCGTGCCACGTCCAGAAGTGTGGCCGGATCAATCGAAATGCCATGATCAGGCGGTGCTTCAAATATTGCTGGCACACAATTGTAGTGATCATTGGCTTCTTCGCAAATTACCGCCGACGAATCACCGTAACATTTCCTACGCTTTTTCTTATCAATATTTTTGTCGCCACATCCCATCAGTTCAGAAACAGTTATTTTCCCCGTTCGAACAGCCTAAAATTTAAAATCTTACTTCAAATTAAGCAAAATCGTTAACAGCATGAATGGCTTTTGCATTACGGTCTAACTTGCGGACTCATGTTGACTGTGTTTTGGCCTTTTCTTGCGTGCAAGGAGAAATCGCGGGGCTACGTGAACCTCCCTCGTGAATGATTATCAGTTTTGTAGAAATGAATAGCTCCTAGTCGTTCATCAGAAAATGCAGTGGGCGGGATGTTCGAGGAGGATTACGAAATCTGCAAAATGCACCAGCTTTTGAGGTTGCGATAATGGGCGTGACGCCAACAT